TACTAACAGTAAAGGCCCTAACCCTAGTTAACTGATTACATGTAACCTCTAATTAATATTCACTTCAGACGAACATCACACAGATACACACAATCTTTTCTGTCTTGTAGGGCACAACACACGAAATTAAAATCTGGGCCTTCATAAAATATTCAGGTTTAAATGGTTTAATTATATCTATTTTACTTCCGGAAATCCCATATTACATCCTTTAATCCTGTTTCTCTTTGGTTGTTATATAAAAAATATATTTTTTTTACTTTGCCGTCAAGCAAGATTTCGCCAGCGCTTTGAATTAATTCAAAATAATTAAAATGCTTCAAATGCCGTAACGTAATTTCGCAAAATGTCAAGGCATTCTTTGCCGCGACGTGAGCCGTAAGGCCCGGCCTCAAGGCATTTGCAAACGCTTTGTGACATTTGATTAAATCCTTTAGCGGAAAAACAAACAAAAAAATACACAAGGCAACTGTCGTTGTCTAAATAAAATCTACAGCCCACATATAGGTCAATTTAGTCGTGACGATGACGGCGCTGTTAGTGACTAAGTTTATGGCAGCAGTTCATCCAAATTTCATTATGGAAATAGCCTACAAATGTATTGTACATACTTTGTGGCAATTTGATTTTCATTTCACTTAGATTATCGTTCATAGTGCAGTGTTCAATTGTGGCACATTCTAAATCGGGTGTCAGAGACTATATACATACAGTCGCGACGTGCGACAAATAACGTTCACTTAGTGACGATCATAATAGGTCTAAAGCCTTTAGTGTTATTATTATTCTAACGATGTACAGCCGCCACAGCTACATATATATAGGAGAATGTCATCTTCATTTCATATTATTCTTCGGACAAGCTTAGACAATCTTGAAGTGGGATCAGACAATATATGAATCTATACGTACGCTAAATCAGTAACCCATGTGGTGTCTGGCTCATTAACATGGTTTAACGCTCATCAATTTGGAATTGAACATGACAGTATAGGTGATTTTATCTGGGAATCAAATTAACTGTGATAATTACAAAACAAAATACATTTAAATCCCTTAATCTCTGGGTGAGTTCATCGTGTCAGGTATTGGTCGGAAGAGTGAAAATATTTGTGTCAATAATTTGAACAACCTAATTTAAATTGGGATTGATACTCTTTAGTGAATTATTATACAATTTATTTGAATAGTTTTGTTTTCGTCATTGTCTGACATAGCTTGAAACGCAAGTACAGTAAACTAGT